AGTCCAACCTCCTTCCAGAATATGCCGACAGGCTGGTAAATCCCATTGGGCAGGGGACACTGGTGCGGGTGTGCTGGGAAGGTGTAGCTTGTCTCCGGGACAGGGAACTGTGACAGCTGTAAGACTGTTCGGACTCGGTCGTGTTGTTTTGATGTTTAGCTTAAGTCTGCTCTGATTCATAATTGAGGTGAAAATGAGAAGGCAGAGGAGGACGCTCAGTTCTCGGATCCTTCAAGGAATCGTGTACTTGTGGCACCAGGGATTTGCACACAGATGTTGCCTCAGACAGCAGAATGTGGTAGTAAATAATAGAGAGGAGTCTTGAATGAAATAGTCTTGTGTAGACAATAAACATAAGATCAATGATCCTCCATAAATTCAGCTTTGTTTCTAGGTATGTTCTACACAACCTGCTTCTCTCCTCTAGTGGGTGAAGCATAGCTGGATTTTAAATTGTAGCAATATGAAAATTTGTATATAGCAAAAATACCCAATCGATGTTTAATGGCATTATCACACATTTATGTACTTTGCAGTCAGACCTGAGGACTTCAGCAATATCACTGTATTCATGAAACTGCCTTTGGAAGTGTTTCTATTACAGCAACTGTGCAATGTTCCCTAAGCTATAGGCTGGTTTGGAGTCTCAGAAACTTCAAAAATTTTTTTTACCTTACTTTGTTCTGTGATTTAGTCTTCTAGTGCTTCTCTACAAGAGAATAAAAAGAATCATTGCTGTCTTGTTGCTTGTTTACCAATCGCTGTTTCTCCTGAAGGCACCCTATGGAACCTGTCCTCCTATGAGCCCCTGAAGATGGTCATCATCAACCACGGCCTGCAGACACTCACCAACGAGGTGATCATCCCGCATTCGGGCTGGGAGAGCGAGCCCAACGAGGACTCGAAGCCTCGCGACGCCGAGTGGACGACCGTCTTCAAGAACACGTCTGGCTGCCTACGGTAAAGCACGAGCGTGGATACTAATCTGTCACTCAGTGTGCCATGTTCAGCAGTTTTTATAAATTATTTTGAAGTAAAATGTAGTTTCCCTTTTGGCAGGGATATCCCCATATTGGTGGCGGTAGTAGCGGTGTCAGAGTTGTTTGTGTGCCACAGGTTCTCTTGTCTAAAAATCTTGTCAGTGTAGGTTTAACCCCTGGGGTCCATATGAACAGTAGGTCATGTATCGAGTTTGGAGGAGCTCATCTATATAGGGAGGTGTCTAATGCAATGGAGGGTGACCCAGTTGACAACTTAACCACCCTGCTAAGTATAGAAGAAACATCTAATGCAAACAATGCCATTAAGTATTGGGAATCATACCCCCAGGAGTATGAGGAGGTCAGGTGTTCTATGATGGGTAGTTCTCTGCTTCCCCTGATGGCCACGTTTTTCTTTAGGCAAAAAAACAAGTTTTCAGACAGGTGCCCCTTTGTTTTGTTTTAGGCTTCCTCTTCACAAATGCCTCCTTTTTTAATGCCGAGAAAAGTTTTGTGGAGTTACCTTGACCTTGAAACATGGATCCAATTTTAGTCTGAAACACTTGTAGAAGTCACTGGCACACTCTTAAGTTACAGTGGATAAGGATTTATGGGAAATCAGTTATAAATCTGACCTCCAGAGCATTTCTAGAGTTCCTTGTAAAGGACCTTTTCTGGGTAGAGATGACATTTGCATTTCTGAGAGCACCTGCAAAGTGGGAGAGGAAATGTTAGAAGCTGGGTCAGAAGCAGTTCTAAGTTACTCGGAAAGCCTTGAAGAAGCAAAATTCCTTACCCTGACTCTCCTGCTTTGCTTTTCCTTTGAGATTTTTGTAAACAGAATTCTATAGAAGATAGAATAGTGCAGATGAACCGTTGGATTCTTCAGTTTTATGTGAAAGTCTGTTAGTTTGGACGAAACTAAAAAATTTGCCATTGCAACTTCTGCTGTACTGAAGGGCACTTCTGTCAGTTCTCTACTGATTGAGGCATTTTCAGAAGTTGGTTCATTTCTCTTTCTTGGTCTTGTTGTCTCTAAATTGCAATAACTCTTCTCTTGAGTAACTTCACAAGTGCAAGAAGTAATGAAAAGTGTTCTGAAAGGGCCTATTACTGAAATTATTTGCAGTCCCACTGGAGACTAGGGTTGTTTAAGTAGACTCCAGACATCATTGTTTTTCCTTACTACAGCCTCATTTTGTAATGGTTTTTTACAAGAGGAAATTAGTCGGGGTGGAGATAAAAGGATTGTCTCAATGAATACTGGGTTCTCCAATAAATGTAGACAAATTGATCATTAGTAGATTAACCTAATCCACCTCATAAAATTTATTATCATCTGCAGTGCTCTGATCTACACTAGTCTCTACATTCCAGGATAATTTTGACTTTTTTTTATTTTAAATAAGGTACTGTTCTTCTAGGGCATAGAAAAACCAGGTGCCAGTTTGGAGACTTTGCTGCCTTCAGATTGATGAATGTGAATGCAGAGCACAGCAGTGCCATGATGTCACTAATACAATCCCTTTTGACCATTTGAAAAATAAAGTAGTTCTCTTTTTTTAAGAAACCACTTACATACATCAAGAGAGCAGTCAGTAAATGATGGCCACTTCTGGTGTTGGGAGGATGTATTTCAGTCCTCTCATCAGTAGTTTCTGCTCACAGTCATGTGGGCTGAGCACTTCCCTCTGGAAAACTCAAAGCTTCAGCCAGAGGTATGGGACAAGGTCATTTCATGATGGAAAGTAGCTGCTCAGGGTAAATAAAAAGGGAGATGGCAGGGAAAGGTAGTCTGAAAAAGGGGGCTTATCAACGTTGCCTTGCTGAAGTGTGAGGAGGTGGTAAACTGGTCTGCTGCCTCCTTGCTGCTGCTTGCAGTGGGAGAAAATCATCAAAGAACAGTCCGGGGCTGCGTGAAACCATGGGGGAATAGGTGAGATATGGACTGCCTTTCACCTGGAGATGCTTTCTCTCCCTAACGATGTAGGTGATGTTAGGTGATGCCTATTGGAGAGCACTTCCCTATCTTGGAACAAAGACGGACATGTAGAAAGTAATAATTACAACTATTATTACTGGGAGTAGTTTTTCATTGTTTGTGAGAAATCTTCTGCAACTGATCATTCAAAGCACCAAGGTGGTTAACAGCAGCAAACGAGTTAGTTTGACAGACATCAGTGTTAAAACCCCTTCGCTACTTATCTCTTGTTGACACAGTAGCTGGTCCTATAAATGTATTTTTCTGTGAATAGAACTAATTGCAAACTACAAACCATTTGCCATTTGGAAAAGTACTTTGAGTCTGAGATACAGTTGGGAGGTTACTTCTCTCGATGATGTGCCAACCTCCCTTCTCCTCCTTGGAAATGATCCCAGAGTTTGTGCTGCGTTGCCTTCCAGAAGAATTGGGAGAATTTTTGAACTTCTGCATTTTCACATGCTCTGGCAGTTGGCATCTCTGGGCACAAGATGGGTGTTACTCATGCACAACCGCCTTTTTTCAGTAACTTTAATGAAGTTTATCAACAGATGTGGGTGGGTTTATTTCAAGCTCATTGATTAACAGTGTGAACTGCAGCTTAATTATTTGCTGTTTTCCCACTTCTTTCTGATCTTTACTTTGTTCTTAATCTAGGTCTCTGCTTTGATAATATGGAGCCTTGGGGAATCTTCCTTCAAATAAATGAAAGAAGTAATTCCAAAAAAGAGTAATTTGCCTTTACCCCCCCTTAAAATCCCAATTTATCATGTTTTGCTGCTTGGTCCTATCCTGTCCACAACACTTCTCACCCTTAATCCCCCATATAAGTCCTATGCCTGTGTCCCCCCCACTCTGGAAGCTCTGATGCTGGCACGTGTCGGGAGCGGGAGCAGGACAGGCTGGATTGCACGGCCGGAGCAGCTGGGTGCAGGGGCTCGTGCTCAGGAACAGCTCTGTGCTGCTGGGTGAGAAAGCCCTGCGTGACGGTGGCACGTTAACACTGGAGCTGCTAGTTTAGAGGCTGGAGATGCTCTGATCTCCACAAACTGCACAAAGTTTATCCTCAAGAATGCCTTTTTTCTTCTCTCCGTAGCCTTAATAATTCTGGGATTCTCTCTTAATATCCTTTAAGAGAACCACCATGGCTAATTGTCAGTCTACAATAGCCAGTGGGCATCTAAGGAAGAAGAGGTTAAGATTTAGTGTCATGTTGCATGAAGACCTGCATTTATTTTGACGTTTGAAGCCAGTGGGCATCTAGGAAGAAGAGGTTAAGTTTTAGTTTCATGTTGAAGACCTGCATTTATTTTGACGTTTGAGCTTCTGAAATCAAGCCCTCTCTCATGACTGTGGCCATTTTTAGAGGTCTTTTGAATCCTGATATCACCAGAGACATGACAAGTGTGTTGTGTGACATTCCAGTCTGTATATAACTTGCCAAAAATTGTCTTCTCCAAACAAACATTTTGCAAATCGTGTATTCCACTTGATAAAAAGAAAACTTCTGGTGAAACTGTGGTCTGGCAATGGGATTGCAAAGCCTTCTATAATATGCTTTACCAAGAGATGTGAAGTTTTCAGAAGCTAGTGCAGGTGCTCACAAGTGTATCTGTTCTCGTCCTCAGATCAAAAGGAGGTTTCCTCTTTCATTGCTGTGTTTCTTTTATAGGTTCAGACCCACTATGATGGATGGGTCTGAAGTGACAGTAACCTTTTTACTATGTGAAAGAGTTGTGAGCCTTGTGATAGATGTGATTTGGGGTGTTATTTTATACCATAAATGTATCTTCATCGTCTGATGAACCTGTTGAGAAAAGAAGGTGCATGGGAAATTTAGGAAGGAGCTGTAAAAACAAAGCAAACGTTAATTTTCTGAGATTAAGTAGATTTTGTGTTATGGAAAGGAGGAGGATGAGGAAGAAATAAGGAAGACACCTTATTAGAGGAATTGTTAAATGCATGTGGATGTTTAATTTGGGGTGCAAGTTTCATGTCTTTGCCTTTTGGGTTGTTCTTAGGTGTACAGAGAAGGTCTCATTCAATTACAGTCTTTTTTTTTTTTTTTTTTCCCCGAAATCCCTGCTGGGGCTTGCAGTCCAGAAGCATTTGCTTTTAAATTGTACTCTCTTCCACTTCAAATAATGCAATGATTCAGTGTGTCTTAACAAGACCATTTAGCAATTCTTCCTACAAATTTGACCAAGACATTAAGACCCATTAGGAGGAGAGGACAGGTGGAATTGCTTTGAGAAAGATGGAGTTGGGGGTGGCTTGCACACATTAAGTTATTGCCAGCGACCTTCACGGCATCTCCAGGTTGCTCAAGTTGTTTTTTCTGTGGGAATAACGTGTCCATGTGAGTGGAAGTGCTCGGCCTCTGGGTCGGAGCCCACTGTCACGGTCACCTTCGTGTTCTTGTTTTCTGTGTAGATATGCACCATGGGCCCTAGCTTTGTGGAAGCACCAAGGATTTTAGTGGCTTAAAAATGAAATACATCCTGTGCTAACTTGATGCTTCCTATTTAATTACTAGTAATTCACTTTTTTTTTCTCCACTTTTAAGAGAATGGAATACAACTTGGTTCCTAAATTGCTAACTTTCTAGCCCAATTCCTGACCTGCTGTCAACAATGCTAAATGAATTAATTTGCATGGTAAGTGGATGCAAAGTGCACTTTTTTCCAGGATGCCATCTGCAGTTGCAGCATTTCTTGACAATTCTCCAAGAACGCAGAAAATCGCATTCACAAACAGCCCCAAGGTTGAAAGACCTGGCCGAGGGTGTGCAAACAAACTGCACCCATTTGACTTCCACAAAAAACGTGCATTCTTCAAATCAAAATTCCACATAACAGGTTGTCCAATATTGGCTCCTGAGAAGGGACAACCTGGTAACTAGAACTGTAAAAGCAGACTTGTGAAGCATGGATTTAATTCCTGTTTGGCAGCTATTCCAGGATAATTTCAAGCAGCATTAACCATATAAATGTTTTTGT